TAACTTGTTGACTTTTTTTATAGTTAGAGTTAACAACCTTCATGGTTTTCAGTACATACTACCGAGTTGATTGTTTTTACCAATGTTGAGTTATTTTTGGCTCGATGGTTAATTCTTCATGGTTTTCATGTCCCTTTGTAGGGAAACGAGGGTCGAGTAAGACTTGAGCCAACATTATTGGTGTATGGGTTCAAACCATGGATCGAGTCATGGTTAGGTAATAGGAACATCTAAGTGGTAGAACCATAGTTCAAATCATAGTTAGGTAATAGGGGCATCCATGATCATCAAGGATTTTCTCCTTTCTTCGTTTGGAGATTGAAAGATGATCCAAAGTTGTGATTGGATGATCTTGGAAAATCGATGGAGTTAACGATGTTTTGCGAGTGAGCTTTTTGTTGTTGGCTTGACGAAGACGACGAAAACACACAGTGAGCCTAGAAAGAGCGCAAAAAAGAAGACGGGAAATGATACATATTAACTTAGATCATATAATATATATTCATTTAAAGGTAATCTTTATAAAAGTCAAAATATTTTTGTTATTGGTAAAGAATAATGAAAAAATCCCAAAATTTTCATCAGTTAATTAAAAAGCCCCAAAATTTGGATCAATTAACGAAAAAAGACGAGATACATACTAAATTTGTGAAACCGGCCACGAAGAGTTATTCCGAAGTTTTAGCCGGTAATTTATCTTTTTTTTGTAAACAAAATATAATTGGGGATTAAACCGTATGCTAACATTTTTAGGACTTTATTGGAGATTTCCCAATAAACAAACCTAGTACATCAGCTAAAAATCAAGTTGTGGCCCCTTGAACATGAAAAATTGTAATTCGAAAGCCAACAAAAACCCAAATTTGCCATGGATAAAATCAGTGAACTTGAAAAACCCAGAAATTATGATAAAATCGTTTCTAGATTTTATTTTTTTTTCCAAAAATGGTTTCCAGCTCTAAGGTTTGACAAAAATGTTTATAAAACGCTTTGTAAATTTTGATCTATAGGGTTTTCAAATTCCGAGTTCTAAGATGTTCCATTTACAGATTTTGAGTTCTACGTGTTGGATTTACATACATTTTTGTCATTAGGATTAAGATAAAGAACATATATGAATGGGGTTCATAAGTGTGTGTTCTTGTTTAGACGAAGAAGATGATTGGAGAACTCTAGTCAATAAAATTCATGTTTGGCAGAAACATACACTAGTTATTCATATAGTTGTTTTTTAATGAGGTAAACAAGATAAATAGTCATATATACAAAAAAAAAAAAAAAAAAATATATATATATATATATATATATATATATATATATATATATATATATATATCATTAACGTCTTTTTTGTCGATCAGTAACTATTTCTATAGCCAAGTTCAACCATATGTCAAAAAAATACAAAAAAAAAAAAAAGAAAAAATGCAAACAATTCATAAGAGTTGAAGCCATAACCCATTTTTTGTAGTTTAGTAACCATTTTTATAACCAAGTTCAACCACTAGACGAAAAAAATACAAAAAAATATAAACACAAAACAAAAAAAAGATCAAAAAAAATCTTGCAAACACTCCATAAGAGTTGAAACAACCCATATGTATAATAGAACATAGTAATAAAATATCATAAAAAATTGAATTTTTTTCGGATGAAACCTCAATTTTATATTTTTTTCTCTAAAAATGCCTATTATTATTATTTTTTTTTTCATTTATTGTGATTTCGTGTTTTTAACAGGATTATCGGTCTTCTTTTGATTTTAGATTATTTTTTCTCTGAAAAGCACTCAATTTTTTATCAGAAAAAACCATCATATCTTTTCCATTTTTTCATAAAAAATCCTCACGTTTTTAGAAAAATTATAATATTATGATTAATTTTTCAAGAAAAACATTAAAAGTTTTTCTTTTTCTTTTTATTTTTTTTTGACAAAAACCGCTAAACCCGCATATTATAGCAAACATACTAAGACGATTAAATCGTAAAAAATAAATAATTAGTCGATATATTGATAACAGATTACATATTTACATACAACCTAATTGAAAATTTTACCCTATTGGCTACCCTTCTCATCCCCCTATAGGCTCGTCGGCCTCCGATTGCCCTCTCTGCCCTCCGTCACTTCCCCGGCTGCCGTGACTCCGTGACTCCCCGCGTAAACCGTCTGCGATCTGCGATCCCGTCTCTCTGCTGTGAACCGCTAGCTATCTGTCGTGAGCCTTCGTGCCAGGTAAAGAACATCTAATGCTTATGTGAAACACTCTTCAATTAATCAATCTCCCATGGTTTTACAATTAATCAATCTGCCATGGTTTTCACCTCTGTAACTAATAATCGTCATCCTTTTCACCTATATAACTTCGAATTCACCTCTGTAACTTCGATTTTTACCTGGGAATATTCCATTTCCAGTTGGGAATGGTAATATGGTATTTTAAAAAGGCTAACCCTATTTTCAATCCTTGAACTATGGTGTGATTATGGCTGACCTCCATTTACCAATGCGAATTTTTTGCTTTATCTTTAGTCTTTAGCACCTGTCTTGAATTCGTTAACAGCAAGTTTTATGTTTTTGTAGCTGCCTAGGTATTCTAAACTTGAGATGACTAGAAATTTCACATGATATATAGTTACAGCATTGTGCTTGTTAAGTTTTCTACTTTTCTACTTGGGTGAGGTTGAATTTGAATAAATAGTCGAAGAAAACCGAGTTTAAAAAAAACTGTGATTGAAATGACTAAAAATGACATTTGTAGTTTATTCTATTTTACATCCTTTAAGTTTTAAGAATGGCAAAGACGCCCCTCAGTTTCTTACAAGCTTCCAATTGTTTAAATCAGGGCTGGGTTAAGCTCTCTCATATATACAATTTCAAGTGTAAATCAATGAAGTTTCTGGATTGGTATGTGAAGATTGCAGTTGTATCAGCTGCAATTGGAGGATCCATGGAGTATTTCATGATTAAAACCGGTTTCTGTAAGTTATTTTTCTGCTGTTTTATTCTCTCAAATTTCATCTTATGGATGTTGATTGATTCTCCATGTTACTTTATTTATCTGTTTGAATCAATGATGATAGCTACTTCGAGTTTTCCTTTGTGTGTTTTATGTTTAAGAGAAGTTATGAACATTGAAACATTGTATCATGAAAAATCTACCCAATTAAAGAAATGCTATCCAAATACAAAGCAATTTTCGTTGGTATAATTATAAATATTTTCAAAGAATGGAATGAAATTACTTTTCTATAATTGGGTAGATTTTTTTCAAATGTATGTTGCTATTTCTTGCATATAGTCCTAAAATTTGTAACGAGACCCATGTGGAATTTGTATTTGGGTTCTTATTGTAATGAAACTTTATGATAAACATATATACATGTGAATAAAGAAAGACTATAAAAGGGTATATTCGGTAATATGTATTTATGTACAGATGACAAAGTGACAGTTCTTGAGTCGGAAAAGAAGGCTTGGGAGAATTCACCCGAAGCTCAAGCTATGCGAGAAGCTCTCAATCCTTGGAGAAACATCGATGCGAATGCAAAAAAATCTTCCTAGTTTTTTTTTTCTTTACGAGGGCATTTAGGTCATTTCCACACACAAGAGATTGAATGTGGGTCCCTATTCCACCTTTTTTGGTGGGACAAAAATATAAGAGTTTTTGTTCATGGTTATTAGTCCAATGTAACTCAAACACAGTAAAACCTGTTTTGTTTTGTTATGTCCTATATAACCAACAATAAAAATGGCTTTATGTATTATTATGTTCTTTATGTGATTCATTTTGCTCTCTTGTTTTTTAATGTGATAGGTTCTTTCATGATTATGTGGAAATGGAAGTTGATAATTTAATATGATCTTTAATTAGTTGGCTTTTATTGTGTTTATTGTATCATGATTAAAAGATGAAAACATTTTGGGATAGTTAAAATTCAAAATGACAAAGTACTTTCAAATTTTAATACACAAGACATGTGTTATTAGTATGAAACTGATACAAGACATCATCATAATCTTTGAGACTAATATAAAAAACACAAAGAATATAAAGAATATGTATATTTTCGATGAGACATTAGCGTAGTTGATCACGTGCATATCATATGTTTTTCTGTTGATGAAAAGGTATAGTGAAAAATCACCACATTATATTCAAGGCTGGACTGAAAGTCTAGAAAATAAAAGGCTAACGTAAGTCATTTTTATTTTGAAAATTTTCTTCTGTTGTAGAATTTTATTTTTGGTTTTTTCTTGTATTAAAAAAAGATATATTTTAAAAAATCTGTAAAATTATGAAAGCTAAAGTTGGATGAAGAGCATATATCAGTTAAAAACATGATTTCAAGAGTACATTTAAATGCAAAAATATTACGCAACATGGAAATTGCAATAAACTATGAATGGACAAACTCCCCTGATGCGAACAAGTCTGGTACAAGGACCTGACATGTACAATTTATCCAAAATCCTATTATTTAACTAAATACAATCCAACTCGATTCATTGCAACATCATTATTCAAATTTAATATACAATATCTAGGAATATTTATATTATTAAAATACATATCTTATATCACAAAATCAATTACTATGTAAAATATGAAAATCAAAGTAATATTTTCTTAAAGTGAAATAAGTACATTATTAGGGAAATAGAATTACGCATTAGAATTGATAAATCAAATGGAATTAAGGAACTAAAAGTTGAACTGCATAATGGGCCTAATAAAAATTGCATTGATCCAATTGGCCCATTAAATCCAAGATCAACCCGGTGGGTCCTTCCATCGCCATTTTTCTCTCTCAAGCTCTCGAAGCTTTCAGAAGCATCACTCTCCTCAACCTTCAAGACAAGCCTAGAAATCTTTAAATCCCACTCCATCACTTTTTCCCTCCTATAAATAATGATCTCCGATCGACTTCTTTGCATCAGATTCAGAGATTCATAGTGTCAGAATCCGAAGATCAAATATTCGTCTAAAGTTTCAGTCATGTCGATCATTCCAAGTTTCTTTACAGGCAGAAGGAGCAACGTATTCGATCCCTTCTCCCTCGACATTTGGGATCCTTTCCAGGGCTTTTCAAGTGTCCTCAACAACCTACCCGAATCATCACGCGAAACAGCACTAATCACCAACGCCAGAATCGATTGGAAGGAGACGCCGGAGGCGCACGTTTTCAAGGCGGACATACCTGGGCTGAAGAAAGAGGAGGTGAAGGTGGAGGTTGAAGAAGGAAGGGTGTTGCAGATAAGCGGAGAGAGGAGCAAGGAACATGAGGAGAAGAACGACAAGTGGCATAGGGTGGAGAGGAGCTCCGGGAAGTTCTTGAGGAGATTCAGGCTGCCGGAAAATGCAAAAATGGAAGAGGTGAAAGCTACCATGGAGAACGGCGTGCTGACGGTGACCGTGCCCAAGGCGGAAGAGAAGAAGCCGGAAGTGAAGTCCATCGACATTGGTGGGTAAATTCAAGGAGTGGCAATGTGGTATTTTGGTGTTAAATTGTTTGTTTACAGAAGTTTGAGTATTTGAGTTGTACTGGAATAAGATGATGCAATTTGAGTTCCTTTTGTAATAATAAAATAATGTGATATTGAATTGTCTTGTATAAGATTATTTTTTACATGGATGGGGTGTAATTTACACAAACATAATTATGAAATATTTTATGGGTTAATTGTTAAAGATGATCAACCGCTAGGGATGGGCAAAGGAATCAATCTGGCTGGAACCGACCCGAATCGGATCCGGTCTGGGATCCAAAATTGGCCGAAATTAAGAACTGAATTGAACTATCGGTTCCGGTTTTATGTTCCTACCGGTTCTTATTGTATCTTCAATGTTGGAACCGGTCCTTGAAAAATAGCAAACATATGATTCTGGTTTTGCAAGTTCTACCAGTTTTTTCCGTTTCCACTTGCAGTTCCAACCGGTTTTTGATTCCAAAAATCTACATGAATACAGTCTCGTCCCGATCAGTTCTATCCGGTTACGGTATCGGTTCTGGCCGATTTCCCAATCCAAATGTTCATCCCTACATTTTAGAAATAATATGACAGAAATAATTTTGTCAAATGATGCTAATTTAATTTAACATGAATGGCACAAGTTTGTGGAGTATTCTAGAATTTGCAATGCAAAGAGCCTAATGATCAGGAATGCATTGACTAATTGATTGAGTCGGGTCAATATTGTTTCAAATAGGACCGGGTTAGTTAAAATGCATAACTAATTATAAGTACCTGGAAAAGTAACTGATAAGGCATCTATATCTTTTCTTGTTATTAATTCGTTCGGCCGGAATGAATAGCCATGGGAAAACATAGTTCTTCCAAACCCATTAAGGGCCTTTGACCATATCCCAACTATTTGCTTGAACTTTTAAACAAAGCTCACTTGAACGGTTCTAAAAAATATCGGGAATGAACTGGTTTCCAATGAAATGTGAACCCTAAGCAGAACCGAATAAAATTGGTACAAGAAAATGACCAGCGGAAACCGGTCTCGAAAAACTTTAGAATTACAACGTGAAAACATCATAAGTCTAAGTTCTTTTCTTCTTTTATTTATTAAATTTAATGCATTTTTAATAATAAATTATACAATTTCTTCTCTTCTTTATTTTATTAAATTTTAATTTTATTGTTTAGTAATTTTAATTATCATTTCGGTACTAATCAAATATTTTTTAATAGAAAAAACCCAAAATCGAATCCATAAAACCAAACAAAAAGACCCAGAAAACTAAACTGAAAAAGACACGCAAGTACCATGACACAAAACCGAAAAAGACCATGACTGGCCCAGAAAGACTAGATCTAGAAAAAACCGGACCAACAGTTCAAGACTACCTGATACCAATCTGAAAAAGGTTAGATATTTTCAAAAGATCCAGACCCAAATAGATCGAACCGTTTTAAGACCGACTCGAGACCTCAATGTGCAGGCCTAAACAACTCTCAAAGATCTACAATTATATATGTAGGTACAACCCTTGAATGCAATATTGTAGTTTCTGGATAGTATACTTAGATTTGATTTCCAACTTAACTGATATTAAGTTACTAGAAATCATTGATGTGGATTTGAGAGACGAAAAGTGAGAAAATTACATGATTCAGTAGTCGTTGTCTCCAGTCGTCATCTCCATAAAAGAATTGTGACCGGATGCTATAGATTCCCATTGCCACCTTATCTTTTTTGCGTGAGTTATTCATGAACAAAAGAAAATGCTAACATGAGGAAGGTTGAAAGCAAAATAGTCAAGATCAGGATCTTATATAATATTGTTTTACATTTTTTAAGATCGTAATCCTAAGATTGGATCAGGATCCGAAGATCCTACAAAAATAAACTAATTTCCAAATTTGCTTGCTAGGTCAATTTTAGGCACTACTAACCATAATTTTCTTTTAGAATGACAGCAATAATAGATAGGTGTTAAACTAAACTATAATGAAACTGATTAAAATGATCCAAAGGTGTTTTTGATCATTTTCAAAGACCATTAATGTAACTTCAATTAGAAAAGCAAATTAGGAATTGTATCATAGCCTGTTAAAAAAATAAAACGGAAGGTAGGGGCGTCGGAATCGAACGTTATAAGTTGATATTAAAAGGATTGATGGTACACCTCCTAACCATCTTAAAATAAGAAATGTTTATGTTTTTATTTACATAAAACAATATATAACGTATATAAACTAAATTTGTTTGTTTTAAAATTAGGACTTACTTTTTTAGGGCCCTGACCACCTCGTCACCTCCTCATAGACCACCTCGTCACCTCCTCATAGCTAGAGACGAGGCTAGTGTATGCAAAAGTGGGTTACTAGATCCATCTAAATTTAAATTTTTTGAAAGTTAATATATAAAAATATTTAGGATTTACTTTAAAATATTAAAGGACCTACCTTAATAGTAGAAGAGTTTTTCATTATAAATAAATGCTTCATCTTTTATAGTTGAGACCATAAGCTTGCTTGTTGAGCCTTGGTTTAGACCGAGTAACTCCATATCCAAGGTGGTATTAGTCAATTTTTTTGGGAATGTTTGATTTGAGTTCGGTCCTTTCACTACTAGTTTTTAAAAATGTTCAAAAAGTCATTTTTTTGCCGCACCGACCCGCTTAAAGTTGTTTAGGGAATCATATGATTTTCTATTCTAGACATTTCTCAGGATTATAACATAGACTTACATCAACAGAACCATTTAACCAACTATGTAGTCTGTACTTTAGCTAAAAAGGGGAACCTTGGGATTAGCTTCTATTACATCTTTTATAATCGCTTTGAACTATAAGATTACCTTGAAAAATTGTTGATTTATTTTTATGCCATCACTTGATCCCTTTTTAGGGTTTATTTATCTTCACAATTAACATAATCATAACATGTTTAATCGGTAAAAACATTGGCACATGATGCGTATTAGTTGACACAACTCAAAAATGAAACATAATTGGTAAAAAAAAATATCATTACATAAATCTATGAAAATTTTGAAATAACTGGAGTCGCATCTTAGAGAGAAACATAATTGCATATTTAGTATAAATTATGTTGTACAAATTAAGAAAAATATAAAATTTCGTTGCATAAACTAACATTTTATCCTGCAACAATTTACATTAATCATAAAATAATTTTGGACTTTCAAATCCATAAGTTTTTAAACCAATAACTATAACAATAATTTTGGATATTTTAGGTTCGATTAGATTGTTTTCAAACTTTTGTTATGCACCCACCCATATTGTTCACCTATCACAGGGGAAAAGGGGAAGGGACCACAAGATCACGGAAGGAGGGCCACAGTGGAAACGCCTCCACCACTATCTGATGTCAGTCAATAGAATAGTTGAAGGGCATTTTAGGAATTAGTATTTTCATGCTCTATGCTCGTATTAATAGTAGAGAGACTGGGAGAGGAGGCAGGAAAATATAGAAGTTAGTCTTTCAGGAGAGAGTAGCATCTCGAATAGCTACAGTTTATCCTTTGTTATCTTGTAATTGCTCTATTATTTCAATCAATCCATACATCCCACCCCTGAGGCATTTTTCGTATCTGTCTTCTATGTGTTATCTTATCTAGTCCATTACAAAAATTGGTATCAGAGCATTTTGATCATGGCTGGAGGAGCTCCACTCAAACAGGTAGAATCCTTGGAGAAAGAGCTAGGGAATCTGAATGATAGGATGGAAACTCAAGGGCACCAGATTCAGTTCCAGGGTGACTCCATTGCGTAGATGCAGCTAAAGATGGACCAGAAATTTGAAGAAGTTTTGAAGGCTATAGCCAAGGGAAGAATCCAACAGAAGAGGGTAAGGAGGATGAACCTTTATCCTCATGGATAAAGACGCCAGGAGGAACAGGAACTGGAAGTAGCCACAACGGAGGAGGCGGTGGTTGCCGAGGAATGGGTGAACAAGGGGGAGGACTCAACCGATAATTCTAGTGTGACAACCGTCAAATTCTAGTCAAGTCAAAGTCAAATAAAGTCAACAAGTCAAACCGATTAACTCAACTAACCCTTGTGTACTAGGGCTTACGTTAGGTAATTACTATACAACTCGCTATGATAATGAGAAATCATCAATTGAAAAGTTCGTATATCTAGATTTCATTAACCTAAAACTATGGTTAGTAACGAACCATACCGATAAAAAAATGTTGCATAATCATTGGGAGTCTGTAAGATCCTTAAACATGGCTTAACGGGGCTTACGAACCTTGCATTGTTGAGCCAAGCACTCAGAAAGGTCACAAAAGAAGCCACTCCCAATCTCTTTCACTCTATCTCTCCCTATTTAAAATCTCTCCCAAATCTCTCCAAGTATGTGAAATCTTTCCCAAATCTCTCTCAAAAGTTCCTTTATCTTTATGTAATCATTCGGGTCATCCCGACCCTTAACCGGGTCAAAAATCACTTAAAACGGGGTAAAAACGGGTAAAATAACATTAAGGAACCACAACCCCTTTATTAGAAGCGAAGCCTCTTAGGACCGAAGGTTCCCTATAGGGATTGAACTCTGCTGAGGACCGAAGTCGAGACCACTAGGACCGAACTGAGGAGGACCCGAAGCTCATGGAACCGAACCTCGCACCAGGGACTGAACCTCCCTTCGGACCGAAACCACCATTCGCTCAATTTCGGCTTGTTTCGCCTTCGGGCAATTTTGGGGCATCTCACCTTCGGTCCATGACCAGAAGGGACCGAACCTCGGCCCGCAACCGAGAGGTCTCGCAGGTTTCGCCTTTCTTTCCGGTTTTCGACAACGACTTCATTTTAGGCCCGTTTTTAATTAGTTTAACACAAGATTTTCATCCAAAATTACATTTTAACATTTAAAGCCCCATATTTCATTATTTCCCCCATTTTTGGGTGTAAATCTTATCCAAGAAGAGTGGGTGAAGTACTTGAGGTGGAGTGTTGACTTCACTTTAGTTTATGACACAAGCAACCACCCACACCCACTACATGACCAGCCCACACCCCCACCATACATGGTCATTCATTTTCCTTTTCCCATCATTTGCCAACCCCATTCTTTGTCTAAGGCTGAAATCTATCCTCTCTCCTAACACTCTCTCATTTTCTCATTCTTCCACCAAAGATCAAACACATTTTCTCTCTCAAGTCTCTCACTAAAATTCGAGATTCAAGGTCCTTCTTCCAAGCTTTTCTTTCACCTTTAGTAAGAATATTCATCCTACATATAATTATTTCACTTCCTTCTACTCCAATCATAGTTTTCTTACACAAATTCCATCATATTGGTGTTAGATCTTCGAATCTTCTAGCAACATTCTAAGTGTTCTTGAGTTGAGTACTTCTTTCCTTCATCATCCATCTACCG